GACACACACTATGTGACAAGAGAACGAAATGGTATCGTAAGATCTATCGCATGAATACATGCAATGTTTACCCTTATATGAGGGGATACTCCTTTATATAAACAATTTATTTCTCATTTGTTCCACTACATGCAGCCTAGGTGGAGCATGATAAGATTTTATATTATTCAAGCCTTTGTTCCCTTTAGTTGAGGTTAATGCACAAAGAATGAAACACACCCTATAATAAACTTAAGAAAGATTCTCTAAACATCAATAACAGGTGTGCAGACACACACTTTGTGACAAAAGAACGAAAAGATACTGTAAGATCCATCACAAGAATACATTGGATGTTTCACCCTTTTACAAGGGGTTACTCCTTTATATAAACATTTTCTTTCTCGTTTGTTCCACTACATAGGATCCATGTGAAGCATGATATGATTTTATAGTATTCAAACATGAAGATAAGGGTTTAATAGTTAATGCATGTGTGATAGTTTTGAAAATTGAAATTCATAGAGTAATGTCACAATGCTTGAATTTAAAAGCCAAAAAGAATAATTCGATATTCTACTATAGTAAGTAATATCATAGAAACACTAATTTAAAGGTGTTCATCTTCAATCACATTATACCCAATGCTTCAATGCTCAAATGATGTCGGATTGTTATGATTATCGATTCTACGTATCCCCCAATTAAGGTAGAATCAAATTCATCAAAAACATTGCATGTCGGTTGCAAATATCTTCTCAAAACACCTCAAAACTACAAAACACTACCAGAAAATTGTCCTAAAGACTATTTGCACTCCCAAATAAAATATCTCCCAAATGCCTCATCTTCATGACTTGGATGAATGCTCTCCTTGAAGCTCACGAAATTTCCTACAACATGAAAAAAAGAATCATCAAATTCCATCAAGTCTAGAGCAATTAATCCCCATATTAATCGAGCATAAAAACACATCTTTTATGAACCAAAACACCAAACTTCTAAAATGCTCCATCCAAGACTTTGGCCCCTCCGCGTCTCTCCACCGTCGATAAGGGTTTCATCTCACGGCTCAGAGTTAAAGGTCTCGTCCAGTCATCGATCCGCCGTAAAGCTTCTAAACCAATCAGAAAGCTTCTGGGCACGAGATTTTCGTCCTTCGCCATACTATTTATTTGAAACCGACGAATTTCTCCATTTCATCACGAAGAAATCTCCCGATAGATTCCATTCATCTCGTTCCGAGCATTACGCCATAGCCGCAGTCTGTGATTTGAGGTTTCCAGCCGCGAAAATGGCCAGCGAAGAAGCCGTCGTCGTCGCCGTCCCGGAAGTTACGATCGAGGCTGTTGAGATGCAGATCGAGGCGGCGAAGGACGAGCAGGAGAACCATCCTCCTGTGAAGTCAACCAAGGCGAGGAAGACGAAAGAGCCGAAGGCGAAGAAATCAGTTGCTGCGAAGAAGAGAAATCATCCTCCCTACTTTGAGGTACGGATTTCGCGATGGCGTTGTTCGTCGTCGGAAGTTTAATTGCATTTCAGTTCTGAGATTATGAGCCTGGATCGGATCTGATTAGGTTTTATTTTGGTTTTTGATTTCAGATGGTTCAGGAAGCGATTTCCTCTCTGAAGGAGAGGACTGGATCGAGTCAATACGCGATTCAGAAGTTCATCGAGGATAACCAGAAGGCTCTGCCTCCGAATTTCAGGAAATTGCTGCTCGTTCAACTCAGGAAGTTCGTGGCTTCCGATAAGCTCGTGAAGGTGAAGAACTCTTACAAGCTCCCGTCGGCGAGGTCGGCTTCTTCTAAGCCGGCGGCCTCGCCTTCAGCTCCGGCGAAGAAGCCATCTGCTCCTGCCAAGCCCAAAGTCGCAGTGAAGAAGGCGGCTGCCAAACCAAAACCAAAATCCGTCGCCAAGACAAAAGCTGTTACTGCTGCCAAGCCTCAACCGAAGACAGCTGCCAAGCCTAAGGCGGCTCCCAAGATCGCCCCTTCAACTGCAAAACCCAAAGCTGTTGCCAAGCCGAAGGTCTCTCTGAAGAGGAAGGCCGCGCCGAAGTCCAAGCCGGAGACGAAGGTGGCCAGGACGTCTGCTAGGACCACGCCGGGAAAGAAAGTCGCCGCTGCTAAGGTTGCGCCGAAGAAGGCGGCTCCGGCGAAAAGCGTGAAGGCGAAGACGGCCAAGTCGCCGGCGAAGAAGGCAACTGCAAAGAGGGGAAGGAATTGACGAAAAAGGAGCCCGTAGTTAAACTGCCTTAGTTTTGTACTAGGGGTATTTCTGTAAATTTCTCCCGCTGTTGATTTACGGTTGTTTTTTTCTTTACTTTTACCGCCTAGCTTTACCCCGTTTACCCGTAATATAAAACGAGACGACTTTCGAAATAATTTTCTTATTTGCAATACCATAAGGAAGGTGACCCGAAATACTCGTAATTTGTGATATAATTTCTCATATCATGGTATCAAATAGAGATTCAAGAATCACAAATAAAATTAGAAACAAAACTTACAAACCTACTTTTGTAAACTTCAAGAAAGAAATTAAATAATATGAAATGATTAAAAAAAATATAAATGATAAATTTGTGAGATTTGTGACCATTCTGTTTGTAAATCTAGTATTATTTGAATGATTTTGTTGAGTTTGATTTATTTCAATTAAAGTTCATTAATTTTGATAATTAATTAAAATAAATATTTTGTACTTAAACAGTACGGAGTACAACCTTTGATCCTTCATTTTTATGATAGATATTTGTATTTTAATTTTGACTACAATTTTTGATTAAAACTAGATTTAAATCAATTTTAATATTTCGTGATATGATTATTAGTGTAGAATTATATAATAAAATCACTGAATAATATTTAAAAGTTATTTTAAAAGTTTTACAAAATTAATTATGACAATATTGTAAAAATATTGTTTAAGTCATAATTAAACAAAATATTTTTTTGTCAAATAACAAAGTAAAATGTTTTTATTTAATCGTATAGATAGTTATACAAAAATACAGAATAAAATTTAAATTAACTATGTAAAGAATAAACAAAAACATTATTTAGAGTCGGGTAGAATAGACAAAATGAAATATTTTTTAAGAATATTTAAAAAATATATCTAACGAAACCATACCTGTCTTAGAGGTTGTTTGTTTCAGCCTCTTAATGGTTCAGATGTCTGAATGGTTCAGCACTTAATGGTTCAAACTGTTTGTTTCAGCCTCTTAATGGTTCAGATGTCTGAATCCTAGTTAGTTAATATGCGTATAATACACGTATTATACTTACGTACGTATAATACGCATATTATACTCACGTATCCGTATGATTTTCAAAAATACTTTAAAATATACGTATATTTGATACTATATGTATAATTACGTATAGTACGTATGAATTGAATATTTCATTTTAATTTTTTTTGTAGAACAATACAAAAATATATACTATCTACACTCTACGAAGAATTTTACACTTTTTTTGTCACGTTCAGAAAAAGACTTCACTCTTTTCCTTTTGTATGTCTCAAAAATTCATTAACTTTTAGAAAGGAACGAGTAGTTCACAACTCTTATTTGTTTTTTCTAAATATATTCAAACCATAAAGTTTTTATTTTTAATATTTTTTTAAACTACTACACGTACATGAAAGTCAAATAAGGATATATTTTCAAATGACGGGAGTGTATATATTTTTCAAATACATATGTTAAATAAATAGAGATTCTAATTTGAAAGAATCTATTATAAATATTTCGTTTAAAATATTTTTGTATTTTGTTTATTTACTCTAATATAAATTGATGACTATCAATCGATAAATATGTGTAAATTTGACGTATATATGATAATATATATAAACATATAATAAGATGTATTTTAAAAATAGAAAACGTTTAGAACGCGTACGTATCCGTATCCGTATGCCGAATGTTTAATATGCATAATAAGCCGTATTTTTTAAAATCCTAACGTATTGTACACGAACGTACGTATTTACGTATTATACTTTTGCCGTATATTACTAACTATGGTCTGAATGGCTCAGACATTTGCCTCTGAATGATTAAGTATTATACAGAGTCTGAATGATTAAGACCTCTTATCTGAATTGATCAGACATTTGCCTCTGAATAGTTAAGCAATATACAAGCTCTTAATGGTTCAGAGCTCTTACTGGCTCAGCACTTAATGGTTCAGACCTCTTACTGGTTCAGCAATTACCCATTCAGAAGTTGCCAAACAGCCCTCCCTTAATATGAAGAATAATTCGTACTCCCTTTATCTCAAACTAAATTACCTATTTACTATTGACATAGTCAACTTCAACCATTTTTTCTTTTTTCGATAGTTATTTGATAAACTAAAATAGTCATAACACTAATAGTTTTGTAGATTTTTTTGATGTATTTTAATATATAATTTTTATTTTTTTGATTCTACATTATTTTTCATATAAAATAACATGAAAATAATTTGGGTCAAATATTGCAAGCTAAAACAGATAATATAAATTAGGATGAAAGAAGTATTTAATTGACTATCAAAGTTTATTTAAGAGAGAGCAACTGAAAAAATATACTACGGAGTACTTCAATAGGGGTGGTAAGTACTCCCTCCATTTCTATAAAACTGTTCGGCTTACTTTTCGAACTTAAAAGTTTGTTCAAATATCTTTCAAAATATATAAGCAAAAAGTATTAAAAACAATATACTTAAAGTATTTTTTGATACCAATAATTTAATATAATTTTTATATTTTAATTTATTGTATATTTTAATGTATAGTTAATCAAATATTGACGAAAAGCTCAGAGTCTAGGAATGACAACCTTGGTGTGGACCAAACATGAGCTACAATGATTTAGGTAGATAACAATAATAACATTTGCGAGTCCTTGATCCTAACTACTTTATGATTGAGGATTTATGATTGAGGATTTGAGGTACAAGAGTTAAATATAAGGGCAAAGGTATGAAAGCCAATGAGAATAGGAAACTATGTCATGTTAGATATAACAAGTTTATACTTTATAATTGAATATTTTCTCCTAGAGAAATGATAATCGAGTCCATGCGACGCAATCATAATAATGATACTCCCAAAAAAGACCGCCAAGATGAATACTCACGAATACCAATGCCGTAATAATGCATCTAATATTTTCTTACAAAATATTGTCAAAAAATTACTACTTACGTGAGATTGCGCTTTACCATCGCGGAACTTGTTCAAACCGGAGAAGATGCTAAGGCAATTGTTGACTTTTGAGTAGGTTGCAGTTTGGATGATAGGATCTCAGAAACCACCTTTTGGAGAGGAACTATGTTAAGATGCTGGCTGTTTATTAGCAATCCTGAGAGCAAGTTGACCTCCATGGCTCCAAGATTATTGTCACTGAGTAATTCCTCCCAAAGCTTGACATCCTCGTCAATATTTGATCTTCTCGCAAGCCGAATCACTTGCTCTAGGGTGGCAACATTTCTTCCAGCACCACAACCCATGGCAGTTGCTCCGCCCACTGCATTTGCGAGGGTTAGGGTATGAACCAGTGGTGCTTTGTGTATAAAGCCATATGCAATGGCAGCCACAAAGCTGTCTCCACACCCGACCGTGTCTATAACTTTCACCTGTCCAAAGAAAAGGGCCCACACTACGTTATAAATATAGAGGCTCATTGTTTGTAAAAAAAACTCATAGAAAATGTCATGTCGAAATTGCCATATAAAATTTGAAATATCTATTCTCTCTCTTGCGAAGAAGAAGAAGAAGACGGTGAAGAAACCCGTGGAAACACAAATGAATACCTTGAAAGCAGGGGCACAGGTTATACTTGATTTGGTGATCAAAATCGAACCCTTTGCACCCATCTTAACAATCACCCACCTAGTGTGGACTCCCTTCTTTAGCAACTCTTGCCCTGCCTTGATTGGGTTTTCAATACCAGTCAGTAATGCCACCTGGTTCATACCGGAATTATTAAATGAGCTTACGGAGAAGATAATTTCAGCTACTTTTTTTGGTCTATTCTCTATTTCCCTTTAAAAAGGTATAAAGCATGGAAACAAGCCAAAATTTGCACAACATCATACAAAATATGAGAACTAGTGTGCCTACCTCTTCAGAAGTCAAGAGAAGCACATCACTCAGCTTTAAGAACATATCAAATACTCTCTGTTCTTCAGGTTTGCCTGAAAGGAGGGTCACCCTTGGACCAGGGTCGAAAAAGATGGATGTCCTTGCGTCAATGGCACAATCCAAAGCAGATTGAAGCAGTCTAGGAGAAAATTCATCAAAGTCATAACCATTGCAGAATAAGATTTTTGATCGTTTTATAGCCACCTTTACTTCAGCAGACAACTCAGTCATCCAACTGTATATGGGATCCTTTGTGAAATCTGTTCGACTGAAAAAAGTAAGTGTCACCCTTGTAACAACATAAAAGAAGCAAAGAAAGAAGAAGGTTAAAATCCTTTCATCTATTTTAGTAGTACAAAATGGTTGCCATGACAACCTCCAGGTGACGACTATCCAACACTTAGGCATCTAGCTGGCGGAAAATGATTGACATGAAAGGTTGCTTTGCCTGAGGAGCACTCAGCATAGAATGGCATCACTTAGAGATTCATAGTGACGCCTGAATCATTTTTTTGCCAAATCAAATTCAACTCAACAACCTGACCGTTTTGGCATTTTCCAAATTTAAATAGCTGCATCAGTCTTGGGAAATATGAAAACCTAAACAAAGTGAAAAAAAAACTAAAGACAAACACTGCCACTTGTTGCTGCCAGACAGCTTTGTCCTTTCCTTCTTTTTCTTTTTCTTCCCTTTTTCATTCTTTTATTTCTTAGTTTCCATTTATTTATTTATCCGTGCCATTAATTTTTCTTTATGATTGTTTTCATTTCTTCAGATAGCAGTTGCATGAGTTATATCACTGTCTTAATTTACGGTTTTGTGATTTAATTTATGGAAATGGATAGTGAAGAGTTATTATGAATTAGCATACTCCGTAATAAGTTATTCAGTTGTATACTGTATTATACTATAAAAAAACAATGCTACTTGTTTTCTAGGAAGTCAGCAAGGCAGTCCGTTGGCGGCACACCTCTAATAGCCGCCATGACAAACTTTACGGCATAAATGTCTTTCCTCATGCGGAAAGTATTTAAGCCAATATGTTAAAACATACAAAGGTTGAATCTGGTGGAGTCATGGTTGAAATGGATCAAATGCCTATGAAGATATATGAAAACAAAAACTAAATGAAATGTATCCCTTGAACTAATTTTAAAAAAGAAATATCGTCCTTTAAAACAACAACAACAACCCAGTTAAATCCCACAAGAGTAGGGTCTGGGGAGGGTGTGTGTACGCAGACCTTGCCCCTACTTGAAAGTAGAGAGGTTGTTTCCAAAGAGACCCCCGGCTCAACATCGAAAGTTGCAGTGTTTGACTAACTGCTACTTCATTAATTAAAGAAGCGCAGATAGTTTAGAGATCCATTTTGATTTATTCCATCACACCCCAAAGCCAAAAATGGTGAAATTTTGACTCCATCGGAGATGATGGAAATAAAATATCGTCCTTTAAAAAAAAACAAGAAATATCTAGGAATGGCTAATGAGGATATCAATATTATTTTATTTAGTTTCTACTTCTTAAGCAGAAAAAATTCCTTATGCACTACTCTATTTCAATATTAGTTGGTACTGCCAATGCAATGAAATACATCGATATTTGGTAAAGATATGGTTGATAAGCTGAAAAAAATGAATACCAAATAGGCACAAATTGTAGGTAAGTGAAGCAATCACCTGCAAAAACCATGTCGTTGTAAAGGGTCCACCAAGACCCAACAGAGGAGAGTTTCACAGCTAAGGCATGGACGGTCAAGTGTGTCGCTCTTTTCATTCACTCCAACCATACGGATTCCTTCATTGTGAAGCACGTCCAAAAAGAAGCGCCCATACACATCATCACCAACGTGACCAACTGTAGTACAGCAAAGCCCAAGTCTTGATGCTGCGATTGCTACATTGCTATTGCCACCGGCTTCCCAGTATTCCTGCAGCAGACCAAAAGTCAATATGAAGAAATACAGTCGTGCAAGGGCTGTTTGGCAGACAGAACTACAGAGGCAAGAGAAGGAAATATGTATCCACAATCCATACAACGGCTGCCTGAAGGGATAATGAAAAGCACGAAAATCAAATTTGTTTGAGATAAATGGTTCAACCCATCTATTGTTCAACTCTACAACAACAACCCAGTTGAATCCCAGGAGAGTAGAGTCTAAAGAGGGTGTGTACGTAGACCTCACCCCTACTCGAAAATAGGGAGGTTGTTTTTGAGAGACTCCCGACACAAGTAACACATATAGCACAAGCTCAGAGAAGACACATAAAGCAAAGAGAGCACAAAAAAGCCAAGAACAACTAATATTGATGAGAGGAAGCCATAGCAAGCAGAAAGCACCAAGCATAAAAAACACACAGGCACACAGCATTGAATAAAAAAACTACCTACCAATCCAAAACGCCTACCCAACTACCCTAATCCTAACTCCCCAAATGTTCCTATCTAAGGCCATATCCTCTCAAAGGATTTGAGGTCTTGGGTCCCTGTCTTAGGGCTGTCTAATCACCTCCTTCCAATTCTTCTCCAATTCTTCCTAGGTCTCCCCCTTCCCTTACTCTTACTTACCACCACCTTACATGCCCAAATGACTTGAACCTAGCTTCCCGCAAGTTATCCTCTGCCGGTTCAACCATAAAAGAGACATTATTGACATTGTTTTAGTTCAGGTAAATAATGGACTAAAATGACATAGTAAGCCTCCTTTGGTAATTACTTTACAAATACATCAAGTTCTAATGGAAACAGTCACTCTGCTTTTTTGCAAGGCATAAGGTAGCGTACATCATGACACCCCCCCCCCCCACCAAAAAAACAAAAAAAGACCCCAACGGAGTTGGAGTTGGAAGCATACTAGGTTTTGTTGTTTGGTTAGAAAAAAGATGCATAGATATTATGTTAATTAATTTGTATCTCAGTTCACAACTTTGAACTCATGGCTTCAGCATACCTCAGTTCAGAACTTCTAGTTTCTTCAATAATTATGTCAATTATTTGTGTATGTCACAGAAATAGACTCTAAAATGACCTTGCCAACTTAGATCATATCATCATACTAAGAAAGTATGGAGTACTATAGAATTCGGTTGAATAAACATTTGGCTGAGATTCACATCTGGATTTCACAAAGTAGTATAAAAGTTACACGAGGAATGAAGAACCTAAGTTGACTTTTGAATACCCTGTGCTATATCTGAGAACTACAACACAATTACTCTCAATTGAAACTACAGAGGAATTATACATTTGTGTACATATAAAGATCATTCACTAATTCTTGAAGCTCAATCACTTCCCCAGAGAAATAGATGAGCTTGCCCCATTTATGCCAAAGTATTTCAAAATGGCGGTTTGCGAGAGAATGAGTTCTTGATAAAATGCCCATATGGAAGGAAAATCCGAACTAACATTACCAAGAGTATAGAGCTATGTATAATAATGTAAAAAAATGCAGCAAAAACAGAACTACATATGGTTTCTAAGGAGAGCCAAGCAATATAGGGGAAAAAAGGGAAATAATTTTAGAAGTAAAAGGGCACAGAAGATTAAAGGAGATGTCAAACCTTGTCCGGAGGCGTTTTGGAGAGCTCATCCATATAAGCCTTGAGCTGATCAGGAGGTTCGGGGGGCAATTCAGGGACATTGAGCACAATATCTACGCAGAGGTTCCCGAACGTCGCGATATCAATGTCCTTGATCCCGGCCACACGGAGGCGGCGTTCAGCGGCGGTGCAATTGGAAATCCGGAGTGTTGGGGATTCCGGAAGTTCTATCCCACGGAAATTAGGAATCGGACGGCGAGTTCTAAAAATATTTGGAATCGCCGGAAGTCTAGGGTTTCGACGAGGGAATGTGCCATGAGATGGTAATGACGTCACTTCCCGGTATATTACCAGATGATGCATTCGGGTCGGGCGGGGAATGAGAGACCAAAAATCTGAGGGTCTGATAAAACAAACGCAGTGAAGAAGAAAGTTTAGAAATTTATTACTGACTTTTTTCAATCAAAATTTGTAAATTTTGATCTTAAATTAAATAAAAAAGATACGGAGTATTAAATATTTATATAAAAATAATTTTATTAGATTTAATATATTAAATATTTTCAAAATATTATTTTATCTGATCAATATACTCCTTATAATTTATATTTTATATAATTATAGGTCAAAATTTGAAAACAATTAAATAAAAAAAAGTCCAAAGTGGACAAGGATGGTGGTAGTAACATATTTTTACTATAAATCTAAAATGTTACTCAATAACTACGTATTTTCTCAAGTTAGTCTCAAAAATTAATTAAAAAAATCACTCTAACTATGAGTAAAACATAAAAAAAGTACTAAAATAGAAATTCTTTCTCTATATTTTACTCTTATTTATGGTGACTTCTTTAACATTTTGGAGTATTAAACATTTTATTTACATAATATTGTTCTAAGTAATTGTGAATAATCTAAACCGTTTACTTTTAAATTAATAAAAATATATTTTTAGTTTTTGATATTATATTATCATCCTATAAAATTTAAAATATTTTTTTCATAATGATTACCGAGTATATTTTCATTTCGAAAAATGAACAAATTATTTGAGAAAACACGCAGTTAGAGAGTTCCATTTTGGAAAAGTAGAGAGTATCAAAATGGACCAAAAGATTTAGCGTCGTTTTAATGCTATTTTAATGGCTATTGGGCGGGGGAATGAACGGATCATTATTCTCGATTAACGAGTAGCATTTCGAAAATTAGTTAATTTAAGAACTAATTTAGAAAAATACAGTACTTAGTTATGGAGTACCATTTTTGGAACTTACTCACATTTTTAAAGTTCAAGAGCATTATATTGGTGCACATTTTAAAGTTCAGAGTAAACCTACACAATTTTTAAAAAGAATAGAGGTAAATGATGCAAAAATCTCTCAAAAATTTATTACAATTCTTTTTTTACTCGATTTAAAATCTATGAATACAACAAAAAAAGTTAATCGAACCTAAAATAACCTCTTAAAATGAACCATATAATTGAATTGGGTTCTGATTAGTCAACTCCAAGCACAGAGAAACACATCATCTGATGACTTATAAGTTACAAACAACGTATAAATAGTTTTAATTAGTAGTTTATAAATACAGAGAAACACACACTTACACCCAAATGACACCTTTATTTAGGATATGCATGTGTTATCATGGGTTTGATGAGGCTTGAACATCGCCATGTAGGGGTCATGTGGTTTGTCCCTCCCATCAAACCCCATGACATGTACATATGTTATGGCGGCGGGGGGGCTTAACGGGGATTAACAAATCCTTTTTTTACTTTTTAATTTGTTCTTTTTGTAGATAATTTTTTTGAAAACATATAAATTTAAATATTGATTTAAACATAATACAAAAAAATTAGAACATAAATTTTGTCAATTACACTTTCATCACATTATCGTGTTGGTACTATCTCAAAGAACATTTCTATATTTGTCACCTTTAAATATTTTGGGCCGGATTGATTGTTGGGATACTTTTGGATGACCGGAGATGGAGTCACAACATGCGGACGACACCAAATCCCCATCCGAAATGACAAGCAGCCGTCCGTATGTTTTGCATTATTATTTCACCACGTTCAAAATGTTGTTTATTTAATTTATTTTTATTTTACATATAATAATATTCGCATACGCATGCATGTATTTAAAAAGTTTACGTCAAAGATAGACCAGATTTCAGGGACTCTTCTGATTTGCCATGCAAAACAAACACAGTTCATATTATTAGGACAAAAACTATATGGCCAACGCTTGTTTTTTATGCACGTGAAGGAGAGCCATATCCATGCATAAATATAAAAAACCTAGCTATGTATAGGAGTGTGCATATATATATATATATATATATATATATATATATATATATATATATATAGAGTTAGAGATTGACTCCAGTGAGATGACATGCTTCGGTGAGATGACGCAAAACTCACCACTGCCCACTACAAACCTCACCAATGGACAAGGTAAAGCTCACCTAAGAATAAAGTAAAGCTCACCACTTTGAACACCAAAACTCATTTTTTTTAATTTTAAAAATTAAAAAGTTAATAAAAAATAAAATGGCAACACCGGTCAACATGGGCGGATCCACATTATGACTAACGGGGGCACTTGCCCCCAATGACTTTTCATTTTTTTTTAAATATCATTTATGCCCCCACTAAAAAAATGAAATGCCCCCATTGATTTTTCCAAATCCTCACTTACAACATAAAAAAGAAGGACAAAAATATTTTAAATCTCTAATTGAAAATTAGTTTTGGTAGTCCGGTCATGTACAATTTCTAAATTTAAAATAATTATTTAGTAGGTTATAAATTATGTGTCGTAATTCATAATAATATTGAAATGCAATTTAACTGTATTTATGGCATTTTATATTAACTTTCACAAAAAAATTTGAGAGTATTGCTCCTAAACCCCGCCTTATTCTTGCCCCGGTCATTTCATTTTTCTGGATCTGCCACTGCCGGTCAACCACTGGTCAGAGACGGCGGCAGGCGGATTCTGGCGATCGGCAGCCGGAGCAGTGGCGGTTTCCGGCGACCGGCGGCGACAGGCGGGAGGCGGCGGTCAAAGTCTAGTCAGCACCACTTCCTTTTATTTTATTTTTTCAAAAAAAATTCAAAGTGTTGAAAAATTATGGTGAGCTTTGTAGTTATGCTTGGTGAGCTTTGTAGTGGGCAGTGATGAGCTTTGCATCATCTGACCGTAGCATGTCATCGCATCGTAAGGTGTAATCTCACTGGAGTTAATCTCATATAATTAATATTCATTTACTATGATGTACTACCCCCGTCCCGCTATATTCGTCTACTTTTGACTTTTGGAACTGTTCAGCTAAGCACTTTGACTCATCAAATTTTCTCAATGTGTAAGCTTAAATATAGTCATGTGTAATCTTGTTTGATTTGTCTTAATATATAGATTATTAATATATAATTTCTATAATTTTTTAATATACAAATTATAAGATAAAATGAATTAAAAAGTATATTGAATGATGTGTAAAAATAAAAGTAGATAAATACTCTGGGACGGAGGGAGTATTTTGAAAGTCACAATAATAAATTAAATATAGATGAAGCTAAGAGAGTAAGTGGTGAGTTGTTTTTGAGAAGCGTAAAGAGAAAGTAAATCGATTTATTTTTAATTTGGGATAGATGAAGTATTAGATATTTAGATAGTAAAATTGACACATATATATTTGTGGGATAGATAAGTATATATCACAGCACCGGAGATGACCAATTGATTTAGTTTTACAATAAAATCTAGTTTACACTAATTAATAATTCAATTGGTGTTAGATCACCCATCAACTTATAATTATGTTTGATAATTTTTACTAAATTATATTACAACGATTAAAAGTGTTAAGAATGCACATTATAACAGGGTTATTAGTGTTAAAAAAATGATTAAATTTAATTATGTAGTATAATTAATTAAACAATATATAATAATTGTCTTATCCTAACAATCAAAACAAGATCGAGAATTGATTTAGGCGGCTACTATTTGCAAAAATATAAAATATATGATTGTGACATACACCTCATCTTAGTTAATTAGTGTCCACACATTCCATTTTAATTATAATTAATTACTTAGTTAATTGCACCGCATAATGGAATTGAACTATGCGTACACAGTACATTGTCTAGCTTTTCCTATATTATTGCTCACTTATCCTTGAGTGAGCAATAATAGAAAGTATGGTGGGACATGATGGATGATTAGTTACTCAAATTAATGTGCTTGACATCTGTTCCACAAAATCTTTTTGGTTTTAATTTTTAAAAGATTTAATTAAGGAGAGTATATTTTGGTATTGAGTTTCCAAAAATGCCCTTGGATGTGATAAAAAAAATTGATAGTGAAAAAGTGTGATGTGATATGTAGGTTAAAAATTAGTAAAAGTAAAAATAATTTTTTAAAAGAAATAAGAAAGATTTTTTTGGAACGGATGAAAAAATAAAGATTTTTTAGGACGGAGGAGGTAATAATAGAAAGTAATCGGATGAAATTAGTAAAATTTGTTTCAAATAAGAGTAAAAGATAGGAGTTTTCCCCAAATAGGACCCCTTAAGTTTTTTCCTGTTTTTAGGAGTAAATTTGTGTGTTGATCCGTTTATACCCTTTGTCCACCACGCGCACAACTTCCTTTTCATGTTTAATTAGAATTCTTTTTTCATATATACAATATATTGTCAACAATTAATAATTATTTTTTCCTTATTTTTAGGTAATGATCATCCAAACCAATTGCACGTCCCATTCATCCAAACCAATTCTTTTTCCTTATTTTCTCCCTGCCGTCTTTATTTTATTTTCGTCATGTTTTTAATTTATGTGTATCAATGTCCGCTTTTATTTCCCAATGTACAATCATTGGTCATTATCTATTAGTCATTATTCAACTAAATGTCCAGCATCCCTTGGAAATTATTCTTCTCATTAGTCATTATTAAGTCCTATTTAGAGAATAAAAAAGTGTAACTCCTACATTGAGAAAATCAAGTGATGCTGGACATTTAGTTGAATAATGACTAATAGAATAAATTTTTTCATGAATAAAAGTTGATTTTACGTGTAGGTCTTCATCAATGGATTTTGGGTAATTTACCTAAATAGGACAAAAACATAATGACTTTCTCTATATAGGAACATATGTTTTTATTTACCAATGTAAGAACATTGGTCATTATCTATTAGTCATTATTCAACTAAATGTCTAGCATCACTTGGACATTATTCTTCTCACTAGTCATTATTAAGTCCTATTTAAATTTAAGTCTTACATTAGAAAATGATTTATATTTTAGTCATATTCAGTCCAAATGTCACTTATGGGTATAAGGACATTATTTTTTAATCCAAGTATAAGGACATTATTGATTACATATGGATGCCAATAACGAAGAAAACATGCATAGTGTCGAAATTAAAAAATGGATAGGGAGGAAGAACTGGTTGAGTACGGTGTGTTTAGAGATTGGCAATGGAGTGGAGGAGTGGTAGATAATAGGGTAGAATATGTAGAAATTGCAGCCTAAAAAATAGGAGAAT